TGAGCAAAACCTGTGATTTGAGGCTAACCTGTGATTTGAGACTTGAGGCTAACCTGTGATTTGAGGCTAGGACAGAGGTTCACCTTCCAGCAGGACAATGACCCCAAACACACTGCTATAGCAACACTTAAGTGGTTTAAGGGGAAACATGTAAATCTGTTGGAATGGCCTAGTCAAAGCCCAGACCTCAATCTAATAGAAAATCTGTGGTCAGACTTAAAGATTGATGTTCACAAGCACAAACCATCCAACTTGTAGGAGCTAGAACAGTTTTGCAAGGAGGAATGGGCAAAAATCCCAGTGGTAAGATGTGGCAAGCTCATAGAGACTTATCCAAAGTGACTTGGAGCTGTGATTGCCGCAAAGGTGGCTCTACAAAGTATTGATTTGAGGGGGGAATAGTTATGCACATTGACTTTTTCTGTTATTTTGTCCTTTTTGTTGTTTGCTTCACACACACAAGAAAAAAATCTTCAAAGTTGTGGGCATGTTCTGTAAATTAAATTATGTAAATCCTCAGATAATCCATGTTAATTCCAGGTTTTGAGGCAACAAAACATGAAAAATGCCAAGGGGGGTGAATACTTTTGCAAAGCACTGTATATGTGACATGCATCCAACTGCCCATTGGCATCTCCAACAACGGTCAGACAAGTTAGAACTAATGTGGTGTAGTCGTGCTGGTGTCAAATACCACCTGTAAATCAATTTTTTGGGCTAGTTCGGTATGTTTGATGCAAAGGGTTAGATTTTTAGGCGTAGTGATCATTCTTTCCGATTCATTTTCAGTGAATGATTTATTCAATTAAATTCACCATGCTTTGATGAAATTATAGTCTTTCAGTTTATATTTTTGAGGTATTGCTGCATATATCAGGGATATAGTTTTTTTCCGGGGTTTAGTACCCATGTATAAGCCCTCAAAGTCCATTGTCCTGCGCCCATTTACAGCCTCAAGTGTCAACATATTTTGTTTAGTGAGCCAGGAGCAGAGTTGGGTATAGGAGTAATAGGCTATATGTGTCATATTGTGGTCTTGCCGCAGCGTTGTGAACTTTATAACCGTGTTGTCTACATATAGTTGGTGTAGGAAGTGGATACCATGTCGTTCCCAAATCATGTAATTAAAATCTGGAATTAAGAATTTCAGTGCTTTCACAGGGGTGGCTAATGATATTGATGATTGTGTTGTAAGGTGTTTGCAGTTAGTGTGCCATATAGTTAGCGTTAGGCTTGTGGTCGGTAGGCAATTCGGTATGGGCGGTCTGTTAGTAGGTGGGATCCATGTCAGAGTTTCAATCCCTCTGTCATTTGCCCAGCTTGTTTCCATTGGGGATCTTGCATGGTTGTCCTGGGGTGTATTATATTAGACAGGAAGGCTGCATGGTAGTACCATTTGAAGTTTGGAGGGCTCATTCCTCCCTCCCGTACAGGCCTTTGCATGGTTTTAAGTGCAATACAAGACCTTTTCCCATTCCCTACAAACTTAGAGACCCAACGGTTTAGCGTACTGAAGGACAGTTGCGGTATTCGTATGGGTAGGGATCTGAATAGGTATTGTAATCTAGGTAATATAATCATCTTGGTAGCAGAAATCCTGCCTGACCATGATATAAAGAGGGGTGCCCAGTCAGTTAATTGTTGTTTAAGTTTTGTTAGCAGTCTGCCGTAATTGGCTTTGAATAAGTCAGTGGGATTTTTTGTGAATGCTATGCCTAAAAAAGAGATAAGATTGGGGCGCCAGTCATAATTATACAATGTTTTTAGCCTGCACAAGGTGTCCAAGTGTTTTTCCTTGCTTAGGTCTTGTGTCTTAGAAATATTTAATTTGTAATACGAATGTTTGCTGTATACGGTTAGTATGGTGTGGAAGTGTGGCAGAGAGGTTTCTGGATCAGTCAGTGTTAAAAGTATATCGTCAGCAAACAATGTCATTTTATATTCCTTCTGGTGTATTTTGATGCCCGATATGGACCAGTGGTTTCTGACAAGCGATGTAAGAGGTTCAAGCGCCAGGACGTATAGAAGAGGCGAAAGTGGGCGGCCTTGCCGCGTGCCATTGGAAATAGCAACGGGATTTGACAGGAACCCCGGATATGCTACTCTTGCCATTGGAGAACTGTATAGTGCCTTAATGAGGTTTAAGAATTCTATGTGAATATCAAATTTGTGTAGGACTGCCATGAGAAAGCTCCCATTCAAGCAGTCAAAAGCTTTCTCTGCATCTAATGACAGGAAAAAGCCTCCCGTATTCTGTTTTTGTAGACTATATAGTAAGTTCAGGACTTTGCGTGTGCCATCTGTACCTTGTCTGACTTTAATGAATCTAACTTGATCTTTATTTATAATTGTGGGGAGGATTGTAGTGATCCTATTGGAGTAAATTTTAGCTAGTAAATTAATGTCCGTATTTAAAAGCGAAATTGGGCATAGGTTTTGTCCTTTGTTCGGGATCTTACCTGGTTTGGGGAGTGTAGCGACATGTGCTAAAAGCATCTCTGGTGGTGTGGTTCTCGTTGTAGTAATGTGTGTGAATGTGGATTGTAGGTGCGGGATAAGTGTGATGGACAAAGTTTTGTAATAATAATTTGTAAACCCATCAAGCCCTGGGGACTTGTCTGTGTGCCACTGTAGTATTGGCGTGTGGAGTTATTCATTTGTAATTGGTTGTGAAATCGTATGTTTTTGGTTAGCATTGAGGCTAGGGAGAGGGATGGGTTGTAGGAAGGCGTCAATTTCTAAGTTGGGCGGTTGGTGTAGTGTGGGGTCTGTATTTAGGTTATAGAGAGTACTATAGAAGTTCGTTGTTGATTGCTAGTCGGTTCCAAATCTTGTGATCATCCTTTGTGAGAATATATGGTATTTTTGTTTGTGCTTGTTTTTAACGCAGTATGCTCGCTAATAGTCTGCCTGCCTTGTTGCCTTGGGTGTAGTGCCATATTTTTTGTTTTTTTTAAAGTGTATGCTGTTTTCTGGAGTTGCATGTTCTTGATACAATTAGTGATGCGTTGTATGTCAGCTAGGAGAGGTGCCATTTTGGTTTGTGTTTTGTCGCGCAGCTCTCTGAGCAACGACATGAGTTTCGTTTGAGATTGCGCTTTGATGTAAGCCGCTTTACTTATCAGTAATCCGCGAATAACCGGTTTATTTGCTTGCCATGGTGATGCGGGTGTGATACTAGGGTCAGTGTTAGTATGAAAGTAGTGTTTTAGTTCTTGCGCTATGTTTGAGACAAATTCCTGATTATGAAGGAGAGAATTGTTGAGGCACCACGTGCTCCTGCCTTTGTATGCGTAACTGTCCGCCAGTACGAGAGTAATGGGTGCGTGGTCGGACCATGTTAAATCTCCTATTGCGATAATAGGAGGCAACCATGGTCCGGTTGTGAAAAATAAATCAATTCTGGAATGGTTATTATGTACATGCGAATAGTACAAGTAGTCCTTCTCCGCAGGATGTAATGTGTGCCATATATCAGAAAGCCCAAAATCATGTAGGAGCTTATTAATAACTAAGCATCTGGATTTAAGAGCGTTGAACCGTTGTGTATCATGAGAGAGTGTCGTATATAGGGTGGGGTCTAGTACGTGTTTAAGGTCTTCACACAAAATTAGCATTCCCTGGTACCCATCGGAAACCTTACGCAGAATATGTTGTAGGAATTGCTTTGGGTTATCATTTGGAGTATACATAATCACAATCGTATATATCACACTATATCAGTGATGACCTTAATCAGTTCATACGTCACAGCGTGATGTATCAATATACTTACACCTCTAGACTTAGTAGCATACATAGAGTGGTATTGGATAGGGAAGTCTTTAAGCTCTAGGGAGGGGGCCTTAGAGCATTTGAAATGAGTATTTTGAAGGCATAAGACATGAGCCCCTATTTATTTCACTTCCGTTATTAGTATCGGGTGCTTTTGGGGTGTATTAAGTCCCCTTACATTTTGTGAATACAATTTCATTATGGGGTTCTGTTAGGGTCTAACTCCCTGGTAAGGGTTTGAAACAGGGGGCTATAGTTGCGGGTAAATAGGGTTGTAGGATTTGCTGTCAGACGGATGCCCAAATACATGAATTCCTCCGTATTTATTTCTAGATGATGTCGGCTGCGGATGAGTGCCATGTCCGGGGTTGCTAAATAATAGGGCATAGCCACTGATTTAGTGAAATTTACTTTGTAGCCCGCTAGATACCCAAACCGGTCTAGTAGTAACATTAAATGATGCAGGTATTCTAATGGGTTCCGGAGGGTCAGGAGGACATCATTGGCATACTCTGACACCGTGAATGGCTTTCCCATCACCTCCACCCCCTGAATGTGTGGGTGCTGTCTGATAGCCTGCAGGAGCGGCAACAGCATCAGGGCAAACAGTAGTGGGGATAAGGGGCACCCCTGTCTGGTTCCATTACCGAGGGAGAATCGGGTTCTCTTTGCTCCTGTTATGAGCATCTATGAGCGTGTATGTCCATGTAGAGTGCCTTAATTGCTATCACAAAAGGTTCTGGAAACCCCTGAAAGTGGAATAGGTTGAATAGGTAAGTATGCAGCACCCTGTCGAATGCCTTCTCTGCGACTAATGAGAGTGCCAGAGAAGGCATCGTGGATTCCGCCATGTACCACAGTATGTCCACTCCCTGGCAGGTATTTTCATACAGTTGTCGCCCTGGTATAAAGCCAACCTGGTCTGGGTGGATTAGTTGCGGAAGGAGGCATGTGAGTCTGGATGCTAGTATTTTCACAAATATTTTGAGGTCAGTGTTAATGAGCGATATTGGTCTGTAGCTAGGGGCTAGTGTGTCCTCTTTGTCCGATTTCGGGAGGAGTATTATGTTTGCCATGGCCATGTCCGTCTCAGGCTTCCCTCCTCGCATTAAGTGATTACCTAGAGTTGTGATGTCTCTAAATCGTTTGTAGTAACTAATGTCATAGCCGTACGGTTCTGGGGCTCTGTTTCCCTTGAGAGATGCTATGGCCATCTCCACTTCAGCTTATGTGACTGGGTCCCTCAGCGTTGCTGTCTCTTCCCCAGTTACCTTTGGAATGGTCAGTCCTGATAGAAACCTATGCAGGTCAGCGGTGTATGCTGTATTGTCGTTCGTAAGATGGGGTGAGTGATTATATAGGCCTGAGAAGTATGTGGTGAACCCGTCATTAATAGTGTCTGATGTTGTGGTTATAAGGAGTACTTCTTTAACGTGGTAGTCGTGTACACACAGCACGACGTCTCGAGATGCAGAGTCCAGGAGGTGTTTAGGCTTTGGCACTCTGTGCTCCCTGTCCAGAAGCAGCATGTCGGTAGGAATGTCTGGCGCCAGGGAGCTGAAGAATTCGGTAAGGTAGGCTTGGAGGTCGTGAATTGTGCGGGCGCAGTCTTCAATATCCATTATTTTGCTTTCCATCGTGCAGATGGTAGATTTTAGAGTTTGCACTTGCGTCTCGAGACTATTATGGGCCTCCGCGTGCACTTCCATTTTCTCCTCCACGTGCACAGGACGTGCGCCCAGGTCGCTGATATCCCTTCTGATACCTTCTAAACTTTTGGACCAGCCAGCAATTAGCCTCTGGGATAGTGAGTTAAGTTGATCCATAAGAAATTGCTGTGTTACTGCTCCCTCCACGGCCGTTTCGTTCATTTGCAGGATTGGGCGGCAACTGTCTGAATCTTCCCCAGCCATTTTGCAGGGAGGTCTGTGCTGCTTGTTTCACTGACCGTGTATTGAGGACAAAAAAAAAATAATGTTTTTCAGCTTGGAGGCTGTTTCTTCTGTTTAGAGTGAGACATTCTTGGTTTGGAGGTATTGTCGCTTTTCAGAGGAGCCCAAATGCCAGAGCAAAGAATTAAGCAGCCATCTTCCTCGACTGGAAGCCATGTACCCTCCAACCCCCCATTATTTTTAAAATGTTACTTTCTTTTTTTGCCTTGCATAATGCTTATTTACCTTTCCCACACATGTGCTGATTCAGCAGCAAGCACTACCGAGCCAATTAATTTTGTAACATCTTTGTCATGTATAATTCGCAATATGCTTTTAGGAATGCCAATCACAGCATCTTAAGCACTACAATCACCAGACACCTGTCATGATTAATATTCGTGGCAAAAAAAGACAGATCTCAAAAATACAGCATAACTTAACTTGTCAGATATGAATATCAATTGGATTTTTAAGGTATTATTCTAATTTTATGCAGCCATGTAAATCACTTTAGCATTTTTTGGCTTGAATATGTTAACCCATTCAAGACCAAGATCAGGCAATTCCCATGATATTATAACAGTTCTGATACTGGTCCCGAATAGGTCAAATTCAGAGAGGTGGGTATGGAGTAAACGCTAACACCTGGGGAAGGGGATAGCAGAATGTTCATTTAAGAGACATTGGACAGGAGACAAATGGCTCCCTACTACTTTCTAATGCTAGCATGTCAAATTTAAAGGCTAACAAGGGCCAAATAAACAAAGGTTTAAAGTTTATGGGGCCGCAAACCCCCCCCCCCCAAAAAAAAAAATTTCAGTTTTCATAGAAATGTAAGCTTATTTGAAAAGTACAGTATAATAAAAGTAAAAAAAAATTTTTTTTTTTTTTTAAAAAGTCACCTCCCTGACACTGGATGTTCTCTCGCTCATAGGGCTTCAAAAGAAACAAAGAGCAAATTTATTTTAAGGAGTCGTGCATTTGCATATAACCAATGTTTTAGTCCAACTACCTTGACATATTAAGAAAAGTTTGGTAATGGGACAAATTATGAATGTATGCTGTTGCACAGCTGTAAAAAAAAAAAAAAAAATTACATTATCTTGTTGATTTTTAAGTCCTATTAGTGAGTTCTTCACTTTGGCTGAGATCATCAAACTTGATTATCTCTGCCAATCCAATGCTTTCCCATAGGAAAGCATTGGTTAGCTATTGTGCATGTGTGGCAAAACACTGCACAGCCAATCAGCATCTCCAATCTAATACACTGCCCACAAATACAATACACTACTCCCCTCACCTCCACTGTTATACACTGCCCTCCCTCCCCCAATTTAATACATTGCCCTTCTTCCTCTTCCAAATTAATATACTGTCCCCTCCCTCCCCAAGTTTAATACACTGCACCCCCATCCCCTATTCAATACAGTACACAGGAAGGACTCCCAATCCCCTCTTCCCCTACCTTAAGATGAACCGCCCATCCTTCAGTTCCAGCTCTTCTCTGCACAGGCACGCCAGACGCTGCTCTGGCACTGCAAGCAGGAATGAAGAGTGAGTGGCTGGCCTGCTCTGCAGACAGACAGCCACTCTGCAGCGATGCGCAGCCAGCGTGAACTAATGTTTAGCGGTCTTGCAGCCGCCAAAGCACGCAATCGGCCGTGGCAGTGCATCTGTCTTGCGGCTGGTAGCAGTCACATCGCAAAACGGCCCCATAGTGATTGACCATATTGATTCAAATGGATCACACTACTACATTTTTAAATAGGACTTAAGTAAAGGAGCATTTAAAGTACAACAACTACAGCTGATGTCAGGAGTGCCCTGGCACCCCTATAATGTAAAGAGTCAAACCTTTTAGATTTGGCAGATTTCATCAGACAACTGTTCTGCAGCCAAATTGAAAGGCAATTTTAGTTGAATAACATTTTGCTTTTGTCAGAACAGCTGGTTTAGTGTAAAGAAAGACTTTGTGTGACATATCCTACATGAGCAATCTAACTTAAAGTAGGAGATTTTTTTTTT